TTTTCAGGAAAAATATCAAGGGTGCCAACAATTTCGGCCATGACTGTATATATATATATATATAGTAGTTAGGTCCATATATATTTGGGCACAGGTGCAATTTTAGTTTTTTTCAGGTATTTACCAAAACATATTCAAGCTATAGTTAGATAATGGATATGGGCTGAAAGTGCATACTCTCAGGTTTAATTTGAGGGTATATACAGTGGATATAAAAATGTCTACACACCCCAGTTAAAATGTCAGGTTTTCGTGATGTAAAAAAACGAGACCAAGATAAATAATTTCATAACACCTTTAATGTGACCTATAAACTGTACAACAAGCAATTAAAACACAAACTGAAATCTTTTGGGGGGGGGGGGGGGACATAAAAAACTAAAATAATATGGTTGCAGAAGTGTGCACACCCTCTTATAACTGGGGATGTAGCTGTGTTCAGAATTAAGCAAACACATTCAAAACCAAATAACATCTAAAAAAAAAAGCCAGACCAGTCCTGGAAAAGCTTTCTTTGGACGGATGAAACTAAGATTAATCTGTACCAGAATGACAAGAAGAAAAAAGTGTGGAGAAGGCTTGGAACATCTCATGATCCAAAGCACACAACATCATCTGTAAAACATGGTGGAGGCAGTGTGATGGCATGGGCATGCATGGCTTCCAGTGGCACTGGGTCATTGGTGTTTATTGATCGTGTGACAGAAGCAGCTGAATGAATTCTGAAGTGTTTAGAGAGATACTGTCAGCCCAGATTCAGCCAAATGCAGCAAAGTTGATTGGACGGCGCTTCACAGTACAGATGGACAGTGATCCAAAACACACTGCAAAAGCAACCCAGGAGCTTTTGAAGGAAAAGAGAAGTAAAATATTCTGCAATGGCTGAGTCAATCGCCTGATCTCAACCCAATTGAGCATGCATTTCACTTGCTGAAGGCAAAACTAAAGGCAGAAAGACCCACAAACAAATAACAACTGAAGACAGCTGCAGTTGGAGCCTGACAAAGCATCAGAAAGGAGGAAACCCAGTCTTTGACTCCCCATCCCTTCAACCTCTGCAGCAATGCTGGCAGCAGTCATATGTCTATTTTACAAAGACAACCTCTGGACAATGACGCTGAGCATGTGCACTCAACTTCTTTAGTTGACCATGGCGAGACCTGTCCTGAGTGGAACCTGTCCTATTATACTGCTGTATGGTCTTGGCCACCGTGCTGCAGCTCAGTTTCAGGGTCTTTGCAATCTTCTTCTAGCCTAGGCCATCTCTATGTAGAGCAACAATTCTTTTTTTCAGATCCCCAGAGAGTTCTTTGCCATGAGGTGCCATGTTGAACTTCCAGAGACCAGTATGAAAGAGTGAGAGCGATAACACCAAATTTAACACACCCTGCTCCCCATTCACACTTGAGACCTTGAAACACTAACGAGTCACATGGCACCGGGGAGGGAAAATGGCTAATTGGGCCCAATTTGGACATTTTCACTTAGGGGTGTATTCACTTTTTTTGCCAGCGGTTTAGACATTAATGGTTGTGTGTTGAGCTATTTTGAGGGGACAGCAAATTTACACTGTTATACAAGCTGTACATTCACTACTTTACATTGTAGCAAAGTGTCATTTCTTCAGTGTTGTCACATAAAAAGATATAATAAAATATGTACAAAAATGTGAGGGGTGTACTCACTTCTGTGAGATACTGTACGTACATACATACACTATATTGCCAAAAGTCTTGGGACACCCCTCCAAATCATTGGATTCAGGTGTTCCAATCACCACCATCGCAATGGGTCGCTCTCAGGAGCTTAGTGAATTCACGCGTGGTACCGTGATAGGTTGCCACCTGTGCCATAAGTCCATCCGTGAAATTTCCTTGCTACTATTTAGTATTACTTTATTAATATTTAGTATTTACTATTTATTTACTATTCCACAGTCTCTTAGTGGTATTATAACAAAGTGGAAGAAACTGGGAACAACAGCAACTCAGCCACAAAGTGGTAGGGCACATAAAATGAGACAGTGGGGTCACCACATGCTGAAGCACACAGTGCGCAGAAGTTGCCAACTGTCTGCAGAGCCAATAGCTAAAGACCTCCAAACTTCATGTGGCCTTTAGATTTGCACAATAATAGTGCGTAGAGAGTTTCATGGAATGGGTTTCCATGGCCGAGCAGCTGCATGAAAGCCTTACATCACCAAGTGCAATGCAAAGCGTCGGATGCAGTGGTATAAAGTACGCCACCGCCGGACTCTAGAGCAGTGGGGACGTATTCTCTGGTGTGATCAATCCTGCTTCTCTGTCTGGCAATCCGATGGATGTATCTGGCAGTTGCCAGGAGGACGGTACTTGTCTAACTGCATTGTGACAAGTGTAAAGTTTATGGTGTGGGGTTTTTTCAGGGGTTGGGCTTGGCCCCTTAGTTCCAGTGAATGGAACTCTCAGAAGGCGTCAACATACCAAGACATTTTGGACAATTTACAACTTTGTGGCAACAGTTTTGGGGATGGCCCTTCCTGTTCCAACATGACTATGTACCAGTGCACAAAGCAAGGTCCATAAAGACATGGATGAGCAAGTTTGTAGTGGAGGAACTTGACTGACCTGCACAGGGTCCTGACCTCAACCCAGTAGAACACCTATGGGATGAATTAGAGTGGAGACTGCAAGCCAGGCCTTCTTATCCTACATCAGTGCCTGACCTCACAAATGTGCTTCTGGAAGAATGGTCAGCATTGCCATAGACACACTCCTAAACCTTGTGGACAGCCTTCCCAGAAGAGATGAAGCTGATATAGCTGCAAAGGGTGGGCCAACTCAGTACTGAACGGACTAAGACTGGGATGCCATTAAAGTTCATGTGCGTGTAAAGGCAGGTGTCCCAATACTTTTGTCAATTTAGTGTGTGTGTGTAACAGAGTGGGCACTGCTTGATTTGGCTGCTCACCATGCACTTGTACTGAGCAGCTGATTGCTTCTGTGTGCAAGGGTAACCTGAAGGAACAAAGTTTTTTTTTAATTTTGTTTGCTTTCCTCTCATCAGGGCCGGTTCCTCATTTACTAGTTCAGCAGATGCGCTTCTGCTGAGCGTTAAGAGAGCCCAACACTTCCCTTTCCTGACAAACACCCAGTTGGGGCTCGTCACACTGCAAGGTCTCTCTCATCCCTGCTAGTTGCCAGGTGTGGTGCTGGAGATAGGGAGGTGAGGAGATAAACAGCTCAACTTTAAAAATATTAAAAGTTTAAGTAGCCATAAAGACCCTTTCGTTTTTAAAAGCCCCAGACATTCCTAAAAGCAGTTTTGGATAAAATTATTATTTTTTTTTTATCAGGACAAGCAGATTGTCATGAGGGACAAGTAGATTGGGACCCTGATTTAGTAGCTTGGACAAGTAGTTCTTAAAAAAAAAAAAAAAAAAAATTCAACACCTTTTGTAATGGTGTGAACTATGCCCATAAGGTAACCTGGATTTTGGACTGTCTGTGCAATTAAAATGTAGTAAAAAATGCATCCAACTGCATCTGATCTAAATAGGCCCTGAAAGTGGTTGTACAGACTCAAGGTTTTTTACCTTCACATACAAATAAACACCTGTGTGTAGCAAACCCCCCAAAGCCTTCCTCCATAGCCAGTGGGCCAGTGAGGAAAGAGCAGGGGCGAGGCCTGGCCACTGTTCATTGCATGAATGCACACACAGAGCAATGGATCGGGAGCAAGCCTGCTTGGGTGCCCCCATAGCAAGCTGCTTGATGTGGGGGCACTAGGTAAGAGGAGGCAGGAGTGCTGGTAACGGACCCGAGAAGAGGTGGATCAGGGCTGCTCTGTGCAAAACCACTGCACAGGTAAGTAGAACATGTTCTTTATTTTTAAACCAAAGAAAATCTGTCTTTAATATAACTTTTAATCTGTTTTTTAGTATGTTTGGCATCATTTCTTATTGCATACAGTTTTTTAGGCAAATAATTTGTTAGTCTTTTGCAATGATTCTTACATGGAGAACCTGCCAGTAACAGATTTTCAGTTGTAGGCTGTCAACATTAAGGGGCCGTTCAGTTACCTGCGGTTTACCTTGTAGATAAATGCAAGTAACTGCGATGATACCCAGAATACCATAGCTTTCTGTGTGTTTATGTTCACACTAGAACACTGTTTTTATACATTCCAGAGCTGTGCTATAATATGCAATGTGTTTGCAGACTATTGCCTCTCTCTGGATGGCCCTGCATGGTGCTGCACAGCAAGCGAAGGGCACTGCACAGCTGTGCAGAGACACGAATGAAGTGCACTTTGCATAAAGTTCAAAAAAATAAATAAAAAGGGAGTTGTATGAGCTTAGTGCACCACACTGCCCCCTGCTACACGGCTCCGCAGCCCAAAATGGCTGCATTGCGGGAAACCGTCTGTCAGCACACATAGTGTGAATGTAAAATGATGTTTGAGGTTTGTAAACTGTCATTAACATTATTATATTATCGATACGTAAACATTTAGACTTTTCTCACAAGTGTTTGTATTTTAATAGTACAGTAAGTATTTCTAAAACATATTGATATAAGATTGAGTAATGGCTGTAACCTTCAAGTGACCCTACAGGGTGAAAACTGAAAGAATTATCTGTAAAAGGGTTTCTGTACTTATCTTTTTAGGGGTTCGTTGTTTTGAAACACTGCGGTGATGCTACTCCCCTACTTTGATGTTGCTCCTCCTTTGCAAACTGTGGTTCCTCCTGACCACTAATAGATCAATAAAGTACACATCACCTGCCTGGAAGAATCACAGCATGCTTCAGGGGAAGCAGGTATTCAACCTATCTGAAGGGTTGAATACTTGCAGTAGTCAAGGAGCAGCATCACAGCAGTGACTCAACTCATAGTAAACCTTGTCTTTTACAGGTAATTCTTTTTTCAGGTTTGATCCTGCAGTGACAGGGTTACTTTGATGTTAAACATCTCTTCCTTTTAAGAACATGTTGTAATATAGGTGTTCTTCAATTTCAGGAATACACGCAGGGCAGCAGAGGTTTGGATGGATGAATACAAGAATTTTTACTATGCAGCTGTGCCCTCTGCTAGAAATGTACCTTATGGAAAGTAGGTATACACTTTGGCTCATCTAATTTAATTAGGATGTACCTGTCAAAAACTTTACTAGTGTGTATGAATAATTTCTTAACATGTTACAATGTACAGTACAATTATACTTTTTGAAACAGCGTTGTACCTTTTAGTAATAGAAAAAAAAAGCAATTTTTCGAGATCCATTCAAGTAACTATGTCTAGGCTAAGATCATGTCATCAATCTGCTGTAGACAGCAGGAAGAATTTACTTAGTCTGCTCTTTCCCAGTAATTACACTGCAATGTTGTAATTTTGTAGTGCATTACCAGGTTAAAGGCTACAGCAGGGGGCTGATCTGTGTCTTATGTTTGTGAGCACAGCCAAGAACTGCAAATGTACCTGTAAGAACAGATTTACAAATCTCTGGCTCCTGCTGTGGCCAAGCATACTTTATTAATTATCCTGTTATTTTATGCTCGTAAAACAATCACTGTAAGCTGGAAGAAACCATCCCCCCTGCCATAACTTACTGGAAACGACTGATGAATTGTAATTTACCCCATTACCAGACTACTTATTCTAATAGAGGATGCCCTTGTAAATTTTATAAAATTTGGTCATGTTGGCTTGATGTGGTCTCTACCGCCACTGCGACGGACGATGTGGGTAATTAACGGGTAGTCACCCAGGTGCTTTGTTCTCTGTTTTGAGCTGGGTTCCCTCTTATCTGCTATGGTCCTGCTATTTCATCATTATGTTTCTTTTCTCCTTTGAAACATAATGAACTAAATGTACAAAAACAACTCCAATCTGTTGGTCTTTGACCCTGCCCCTGCGAGGGCATCTGTTGTTTGTACTATGTATGTTTTCACCAACTTAATATGTTTAAAATAAAAATATTTTCCCCCCCTCTTTTGCTTATAGGTGTCATAAGACTCTTATGTTAAAGCTGAACTCCAAGCACAAAAACTTTCATTCACACCCCGGTCACATCAAGCCCAACTGTGAAATTGTGTGACTTACAGTGTAGTCGCACGATTTCAAACTTGAGTGAGATGCCGATTTTAAATGCGATTTGCAAGACATCTGATACAGATGTCTATGCATATCACACCAAAAGTAGTGCATGTACTACTGTAGAAATTGGTGCGGCTCCAACCAAGTTGGAACCGCATCGATATGACCGCTCTAATTGCAAACAGTGGGGTGGGTGCGACTGGCATGTGATTTGCAAGTCGCATAGCATGCAAATCGCATGCCAAGTCGCACCCAATGTGACCGGGGTGTTATAGATATTCTTTAGGACAGCAAAACAATGTAAATCCACTTGGTGTGCCCCAAATGGCTTTGTAAACACTGTTATTACCTTATAAAAGTAGCAGGTGCAAATGTTTCATGCTGGTATACTGTACAGACTGGAATACATCAGGGGCTCAAAAATTCAAATTCAGGGTTGTAACCCTTACTCACTCTATTCAAAATTAAATACATTTTGGCTGTAGTTGGGCTTTAGTGATTTAATTTTAACTTTTCATGTATTTAATTTTAGTATTCAGAGCCGCACAGAGCTGAAGAAAAAACTGGGCTGCAAACCTTTCAAGTGGTATTTGGAGAATGTATATCCAGAACTCAGGTAGGATTTGTGTTCCTGTGAGATTGTAATTTTCTTCTGAATATGGAAATAGTACATTTTTATTCTGCAAGAAAAATAACATTCCTATATTCTACTATGGGAGCAGCTACCATGCACGTTCCAGAACTACCAAATTTCCTGAGCTTTAATGTTGTGTAAATGCCTGGTGATGGTTATGCCAATTTAAAGCCCTTTAAATGGATATCCAGTTCAATAGACATACTGACAACCATTTTCATAGTCTTGCCTCATCCCCCATTTTGATTGTCTTGCTGCCACATTCTTGTTGCAGGGCTGTGTAGAATGTCTAGATAGGACTATGTAATTTAGTATGCAGTAGAGCAGTGGTTCTTAACCTTGTTGGAGGTACTGAACCCCACCAGTTTCATATGCGCATTCACCGAACCCTTCTTAATTGGAAAAATAAAATATGATTTTTAAAATTCAAAACATAGGTATATATTTAGGTATATATTTATACATAGGTGCACAAAATGAACAAAACCGTTAAGAACAAAGAACAAAACCATTAAAACATGATTTTCACACAAAAACAAAAACATAATAATGAATATTTACTGCACGAATCATATGAGTCGGGTGTGGGTCTTCACCTCCGCCGAACCCGCGAGACTGACTCACCGAACCCCTGGGGTTCGATCGAACCCAGGTTAAGAACCACTGCAGTAGAGTTTGATTTTGTGCTCTGGGTGTTCAGTAACAGACCTAAACTGACTCACCCCCCTCTTACCCCTCCATACAAGTTTGTGTGAGGAGACCTGGTGAGGGTTGTGGCTGTCATTCAGTTCTGCCAACACAGAGCACTGGAGTGTGAAGGCAACAACCAGTATATTTACGAAGTGAAAAGATAAAAAGTTGTCAGACCTCACAAATGGATGGTAGCTGTTCAGCAGCTAGTGAGAAAGCTTCTTAAGTGTTGTAAAAATTATGCAAAAATAAAAAAGGAAATGGGGAAACCACATTCTTACTGCTTACATTATTTCTCTATCGTTTGTTGAAGGCCACAGCTTAACTCCTCAAGGATGGGCTTGATGCTGCTACCTTCAGGAGGTGGTAGCCAAACCCCCCATCTACAACCCAGGATTCAGTTTTTGCCCAGTGTCATAGAGCTCCAAAGCTTCACATTCAAACTCCTAAAGATATTTTTTTTTTCTTTTTTTTTTTTCCCTTTCTTTTTTTTTTTAATAGCTTTTGTTCAGGTTCACAAGTTGGTTACGTCACTTCATATGTTTACCAAGGTGGTTAAATCTACCTCTGTAGTCACCAGCTTTGGCTGGAAAGTCTTACAGGCTGTGGTTTTCTGTTCCGCCTGGGGTTGATGCCTAGTTCTGTAGTTTGTTGTGGGCCCACCCTTTCCTCTGTCTTTCTGGCACCGCTTTGGGATATCCCATCCATGAGAAGTTAAGCTGTGTCCTTTTAATGAAAGATGGAGAAAATTGGACTTTTGTACTCACAGTAAAATCCTTTTTTTCTGAGTTCACTGCCCTGTCTTGTTTCAGTATTGTTGTCCTTATACTGCTGGGTACTAACTGAATCTTGGGTTGCAGATGGGGGGGCTGAGGTTTGGTCACCACCAGAGGGTCACCCCTTAGGCATGCTTTTAGTTTAAGTTGTACTAGAGTCCTGCTCCTGAGTCCATCCAGAAGTTAAGTTGTGTCCTTCAAGGAACTCCGAGATAAGGATTTTACAGTGAGCACAGAAATTAAGTTTTTACATGGGGGCATTCAGAAAAGCGTACAAACAGTCACGAGTGGCTGAATGCTCTGGAGGAACTGGCTGCTTTAAACCAAGCTTCCTATTGTCTGCGTGCATGTGGATGGTCTGTCTCAACAGTGCGTCTGTCCCAGCAGTGCATTCATAAGCAGTGAGCAGAGGTAGGCTGTTGAACTGTACTAGTACCCAGCCTTATCTAGTCATAAACGCTAGGCAAACTGTTGGCGCTATATAATCCTGTATAATATTAATGTGTCTTGAGCAACCATGTATTCAGTGATCTGTATAGAACTGTTGTGGACCAATCTCTCATTAAGCAATGAGGACAGAAACATGAGTAGTACCTTCAAAAAACAAATCTACAACACCAGATCCCATTTTTCTATCTTGATAGACAGAGCTTGACAAACCTCAGGTGCCAGGTCACCATGGCGATTAGAAATTGCATCCTGGCACCTGAAAGTACACACTGCCTCCCATTGACTTCATGCGAAATTGTGTCCCATTGACTTCAATGGGAAATCGGCTCCCGTGGACTTTCGATGCGAAATCGGCTCCCGTGAATTTTCCATGCAAAAACTCCTGTCAATAGCAATCCTATATGAACACTTGCTTATCTCCACATGCCACTCTACTCTATCACTTGCAAGGTGGTAACGCAATGCTACACACTCACAAAAGACCATTTTTTGTAATGGCACTCAAAACACAATGCATGTGGATTGCATCTGTGTGAACTACCTCAATAAAAACACATAATATCTAGCCTGTCATGCGAATCTGAGTTTGAAAATGCATCCAAAATTGCATATGTGTGAACCAAGGCAGCTCCATTCATACCTGGGCAGCTTGGAATCACGGCAGAATCATTGTGATAGGTTCAAGTGCCATTATTTTCAATGGTGCCTAAAACGTGGTGCGGTTTTGCCGTGATTATCACGCTTCAAATCATATCACCAAACGTTGCCTTGCCCTGGGTGCTGACAACCCTCGCTACGTTAAAAAAAAAAAAAAAAATTGGCTCCTAACTTTAACTTGCTCCGAGATTCAAAACAAATTTGTCAAGCCTCATTGATAGTGATAGGGATTACTTGTGATTTAAAAGAAGGACTTGGAGGAATTGGAGTAAAGCCATTAGGGTCACATTTCAAGATTGCAAATTACAGTGGACAAGGTAAGCATACAAAAACCCAGAGGCCACAAGATTGAATGAATCAAAGCACATCCTTGCATATTGATTAATAATTTTAAATTTGCCTGGAGTTTATGATGCATCCTGATGTTTGGTAAATTAGTAAAACTTTAAGAAAAATGACATAGAATAAAAAATGCAGCTTAATGATGGGATGCCATTCATTTTCTTCAGCCAGTTCACGTTTTGTTTTGTTTTTTAATGAGTCTTCCAGAGCACTGACCTCTCTGTGTGTGAGACCTTACGTCCAAGAGGGCATCTTTTATCCCTCTGAGTGTGCATTTAAATGCTTGCTTTCCTATTAGCTGACAGAGATCACAAGGTCTGAGTGGAGGTGTCTCAAAAGATACTTTTCTTCTGCAGCCTATCACCAGTTGTAAAATCTCCATCATTGTTTGGCTCTGGCTAATTAAAAGGCATTCAATCAGACAGGTGTGTACAGAAACATTAAATTTTTATTTTATCACAAGGGAACACAGGTCCTTTAATTAAAATGTGCGTCTCATGAGTGTGCCAGCTCTGCATCTTAATCTATAACAGCATGGCGTTTTCTGGCTTTGTTCAAAATGAAAGAATAGACAAATGGGTTACAGGGAATACGAATTATTAAAGTATCTGAAGCTACTGCATGTAATGTGCACAGATTTATAATATTTTCAGTGATTTGTTTCAATTTATTTGCAGAGTTCCTGACCATCAGGACATTGCGTTCGGAGCCTTACAGCAAGGAACAAACTGTCTTGACACATTGGGCCATTTTGCAGATGGAGTTGTGGGCGTCTATGAATGTCATAATGCAGGGGGTAACCAAGTATGTATTACAGCTGCATACAAACATAGAAACAATTGAAAACATTTATTTTTAAACTGTTCTAATTCCTATTTATATGAAATGTCGATCTGCAAAACAGGAGAAATTATTAATGTCAACTGGAGTGCCTTTCAATAACTGAAGTGCCTTTCAATAAGTTGTTGAAATGAGAAAGGAGACAAAGCAAGGGCAGTGATTTTATATTTGCAGTGTCTGCTCTTTTGCAGATTTAAAACTTTGGGCCCCTGCTCATTTATAGTATGGCAGTCACTCAAGTATTCTGCCGTTAAAAGAAAAAACTGTTTAAAATGTAACACTGTTATTTTTTTTTTTTTTTGTGTGAGTGAAAAGGGCTTTCTCTTAGCTTACTGCTAATATAGATAATTGGAGTGAGTGGGCACAATTAAGAAGAATTCCCGTTCCAGAATTTCTGTTTTGCGGTTGGAGCAGAAGCAAGTGGGTGTATATGTGGTTGGTTTTAGGCAGTCGCTGATCATAAGCATTTACATGGCCAAGACGGTCAGGAGTGGCTTTTTGTTGACAGGCAAGGTAGAGACAGATATTTTATTTTCCAATAGTTTTTATTAAGATTTTTCAAGTTACAGACAGTGCAAAAGACAAATGTCATGTTATCACAAAAGGTGTCGAATAGCACAAAAGAACACCGGGGTTAACAAACAGCAGACATACCCTAGGAAACGTAAGAATCTGTGCGAAAACAATTGGGTAATTTAAACAAAAAATACTTAGCATTAAGTCCACCAGGTATAGAAGAGTCAGTGGCCATGCCCCATAAATCACACAGAACGGGCATCGAGGAAAACATGACAGATGTTGTAGAACGAGTGAAGAATAGGTTCAACTAGCCCCAGAAAATGGGGAAATAAAAAGGGACAATAAAAAGTAAGAAAAGGAAGTAGGAACAAGGAAAGAAGAGGATCAAGTCAGGAAGTATCAAGGCACGGAAATGTATCGAATCCATGGGTCCCATGTTCTATCAAATTTGTCCGTATTGTTGAGTGAGTCTGTCGTTAATCGTGATCCAATTCAATTTATTCTTAACATATTCAAGCGGAATAATTGATCTCTTCCAGTGTTTAGCAATAGTGATTCTTGCTGCTAACAGCTAGAGAGAGATATTTAGCAAGAACAAAGCTGATAGCATGCCAGCTCCCTACATCTTCATGTGTCACTGTAATCCAGGTAGCTAGATCAGGAAAGCTCAGGGTGAAAACGCTACAGTAGCGAAAACATTTATACCATGAAAAATGCAGTGTGGAAACAACTGGCAGTATTCCATTTGCAAATGTCTTGAAAAGAGGACTTTTGAAAACAAGACCTGCTACAGAAATGCATTCACTACAGAACATATTATTATTATTATTATTACTATTATTGTTGTTTTGATTTTCAAGTTTAGTTCTACTTTTCCAGTGTTGTATTCATATAGCTGGGTGCCTGTCTGGCCCTATATTGTTACATTTTAAATACCAGGTAACATTAAACTGGTAGAGGTTTATTAAAGCATATACATTTTATTATAAATATAGGTGCCACACTAAATGCTTCTGCCATTTGTAAGTGATCTACATGCAGATTTTCTACCTTGTTTGAAATATCTTGAGCAGGTGGAGACAAGTAAATTAACTTTTTTTTTCCAGCACTGTGTGCATGATTAACCACTTGCCTATTGGGCACTTATACCCCCTTCCTGCCTAGACCAATTTTCAGCTTTCAGCGCTGTCCCATTTTGACAATTGCGCAGTCATGCAAAACTACCCATGTGAAATTTCTATCACACAAATAGAGCTTTCTTTTGGCGGTATTTAATCGCCACTGGGTGTTTTATTTTTTGCGCTATAAACAAAAAAAGGGCATTCAGTTTGAGAGAAAAAAGCTTTTTCTTTGTTTCTATTATAAAATTTAGCAAACCGGTAATTTTTCTCCTTCACTGATGTGCGTTGATGATGCTGCACTGATAGGCAGCACTGATGGGCAGTGATAGGCAGCACTGATGGGCACTGATGAAGTGGCACGGATAGGCAGCACTGATGAGCTGGCACTGATGATGCGGCACTGATGGGCACAGGTGGGTGGCACTGATGGGCACTGATCATCAGGGCACTGGTCATCAGTCCTGATCACTTCTCTGACAATTGCCGGTTATCGGCAGTACTTTCCTCATGCTGTGACAGCGCGAGGAAAGTGCAGCTGATAACCGACAACTGTATTTACCTGGTGATCTGCTGTGTCATTAGACACAACTGATCACGTGGTAAAAGGCCGCTGTGATTGGCCGTTTACGGTATCACATGATCCACTGTGTCCATAGGACACAGCAATCTCTGGCGGCGTCAGGTGCGTGCCACTGGGGGCACGCAGGGGGAGTGTTCTGGAATGACATCCATGGACGTCGTCCCAGAACTAGACAACCGCACTGTAGCCGTCTTTAGGCTATAGCGTGGTAGGGAAGAGGTTAACCACTTTCCCTCCACCCTATAGCAGCTTTACTGCATTTCCCTGGGTGGGGGGTGCGTGCCCGCCTACCCCCGCTGTCATTGGTTCCAGATCTCTGTCCTGTCAGCAGGGATGTGCTGGTTTTTATCTCCATGCAAAGCATCCTAGTAAAACAGTTCACAGTAATCACATTCTCTGCCACACAGTTAACCCTTTGATTGCCCCCAGATGTTAACCCCTTCCTGCCCTGTGTCATTAGTACAGTGACAGTGTTTTGTTTTTTGTTTTTTAGCAATGATCAATGTATTAGTGTCACTGGAGATGCCAGTGGCAGTTAGTCAGTTCCCACCCTGTGTCAGTGTCAGAATGTCCGCTGTGCTATCACAGTTCCACTATAAATTGCTGACTAGTATAAAAGAAAAAAAATATTTCAGCATCTATACCATTGTTTGTAGACGCTATAATTTTCACGCAAACCAATTAATATATACTTATTGAGTTTTTTTTTTTTTTTTTTTACCAAACACATGTAGCAAAATACATTTTGGCCTATATTTATGAAGAAATGCTATTATGTAAAACATTTTTATTGGATATGTTTAATAGCAAAAAGTAAAAAAAAAAAAAAAAAAAAATGTTAAATTTTCGTTTAAAAAAAAATTTAAGTAAACCCCAGAGAAGATCAAACACCACCAAAAGAAAGCTCTATTTGTGTGAAAAAAATTATATAAATTTAATTTGTGTACAGTGTTGTATGACCGCGCAATTGTCAGTTGAAGTAGTGCAGCTCCATATAGCAAAAAAATAGCCTGGTCATGAAGGGGGAGAAACACTTTGCAGAGGGCAAGTGGATAAAATAAGTCTCAACTTAACTGTATGTTTGCCTTTAATAATTTGGCATTCTTGTATTTCTTTTTTGTGTAATATTGGCTGCAGAAGGTTTATCAATGTCCAGAAATCTTACATGTACTTTGGGTCTCCTATCGGCAGTCATAAATCTTTTGTGTACAGTCATCAGTGCATGCGGAAGAGTTATTAATATTCCTAGGACAAAAAGTTGTAGTCTAGGTCACTTTTCTTTGATTACTACCATTTACGCCATATAAATATTTAGTGATCTCTGTATGATGTATTCCTTCAAAGTTCTTCTGTCATAGAAGGTACAGCCCTGCAAAACATCCTGTAAAATATTTACTGTGTAAAGTAATGCAAAACAAATTGCTGCTTGGGAACCCAGCTTGAATCTACGTGGTACTGTTGCCTGATCCACAATACAGACTGCTTGATTTCTTTTTTTCTGTTGTGCTGACAGTTTTTCAGCTTCAAATTCTTTATAAATCACTTTACTGACAAATTAATGCAGAGTTTTCAGAATTTCTGACCTGAGGGCTGTGATGTGAAAGGAAGACAGACCCCATTTTAGACTGGGGTGCCTTGAGGTTTGACCTACTTCTAAAGGGTGACGTTACTAATATGTAGGTCCATCTTTGATAGGTAAATGCTTTGTTAGTAACTATTGTGGACAAACTTACCTTAAAGCGGAGCTCCACCCAAAAGGGGAAGTTCTGCTTTAAGGACTGCTCCCCGTTCAGGATTGGCACCTTTGGGGGGTGGGAACGGGTACCCGAATTTGATAGGTACCCGCTCCCACTTCCGGTCCGATCACCTAGGTAATCGAAAGCGAAAGTTGTCCTCCCTCCTTCCCTCCCTGTAGTCTTTTGGAACATGTGACAGGTCCCAGAAGACTACAGGACCATTCATGAAGTGCAGCGCTACTTGTGCATGTGCAGTGGTTACCCGGCTGTGCAGCCGCAAGCTGCACAGCGGGGTGCCCACACTGAAGATGCCAGCCTCCTGGAATACAGGACAGCCGGTGAAACGGGCTGCAAGGGACACACCGAGGGACAAGTAAGTGGCTGTTTTTTTAAAAGTCAGCAGCTACAGTGGTTTGTGGAACTCCGCTTTAAGCTTGGATATCATTTTTAGAATTTTTCTTCTTCAAGGCAGATTAATCCTTGTGTAGAATATGAATGCGTTCAAAGTTGTGCAGTTTTTCACACGTTTATGAAACGCACAAAGAAATGTGCATGTCGCACTTGTGGTGCCATTTGTTATTAAATAATGAAATGCACTAAACAAAAGCCATGGTTTTGCTTTAGAAAGAAAGTGTGGTGAAAAACACATGAAGCTTAAAGCTCAAGAAGATTTTTTCCCCCTTGTTTGGCCCCTGTAGGGCAATTCATTCAAACTAAAGGGCCATCCAATGCACTACAGTAGCGTAAATGCTCAATAAATCTTATTAAATTCTTATTCAAACATACCCATGTTTCTTTATGCATTGTTTTTTCTTGTATATTCTGCAGACTGGAACATGCACATTGTATGCTACAGTCAAGGCACGCCATTGGTGATAACTTTTCACAGTTGCCAGTGAACTTATGTTGGCTCTCAACTGATCTTTCAAGCTCTCATTAGCTGATGTTATAGCTGAAACATGGGAACTGCAGATCTAAATCGAGGATAATATGCCACTGTTTTTTCAGATGGGAATATATAAGGGTTTAGGTTCACTGTTTCAATGCTAATAAATCTGACAAGAATAATAATTCTATGTTGGTTGCAGAGCTAAAGACATAAAAAGTGAGCTGTAAAGAAGAAATTATAAAAAATTAAAAATAAAATATTTTCTTACATTTAAACAAATTTTCTTGTTTGTATCCTTTTCACTTCAGGAATGGGCTCTTACAAAAGACAAGTCGGTTAAACACATGGATCTTTGTCTTACTGTTGTGGACCGAGCACCAGGCTCTCTTATAAAACTTCAAGGCTGCAGAGAAAACGACAGTAGACAAGTAAGGACTCTACCCATAGTATTGTGTACCCTAATTCAAATGTAATATCTCTTTAATGTTCTTGGAAACATCCTTACGTAGACAAAGCATACCTACCAATAGATTTATTTAAAAATATATTGAAAGAAAAAACCTTTTTAGTATTGGATAGTCTAAACCTCATGTCAAGTTTTCTTTCTACTCAATTGAGAGACAGTGAAAGTGTTTACTTTTGGGTTTACTGCTGCCTACAGGAGGATTGGAAACTAGTAAATTAAAAAACTATGTGCTAGTTTCCAAGCCCAGGATAAATCCTCCCACTATCTTCATTCCTCTGCATGTTTCTGCTAGTGTCCCAGGAGAACTGATGTCTTTTCTACAGCTTTGCTGTCACTAACTTATTTTTTGGCTTGTACTGTAGTCTGAATTTACTGCCTTGTAGTCGCATTATGCCTAAATCTAGACACTGGGAAGGGAGGGGTGGTGGGGTCATGAACTGAGTTTTATCTGCTGCTGTTCTGCTAATGCTTTTGGGGCTGCCCTTTAGCACACCTTCTAACAGTGCTGACATCAGCAGCCTGGAATCATGCCATTCTCTGATCTAAGATTCTATCCTATTTAGCTCTGTTGGATGTAGCTGGGCCTTTTCTTCTCTTAGTTGAGGTTGTTTGCATGGTCAAGCAAGATTTTAGGACACAAGGACCCAAATTAACCAGTTATTTTTGACTATGATAACAAGCACACCCAAACCCTGCAGATTCTGTATCTGATTTCCCCACAGCCTCATCAGTTTCCAAGCCATCAGCTGCAGAGACCCTGACTGATGGGCTTGTCCGCAGTCTACTGGTTTCATTCTCAAATTAGAGTAGACTGTTTCAGCAACTGTTGATGCATTGTGCACCGCTGTGAAACTAGAGAATCAGCTTGTTGCTTGTGTTAGTGCTGTTTCCAGCCTTGGGTCCTTTAAGACTCTTGAGGCCATAAAGACTTTCCCTTTTGAACTAGCTTTTCCAACTATTTCCCTGTGGAGATCTGAGTCATCCCGACAAGGTATTCCCCCCAATACCCCCCCCCCCAAAATTTATTAGCCTTCTATCTGTTTAGTACAGGTTTTGTGCAAAAGTGGTGCATCCCCACTGTGAGTCCAGCCATGTTCCGCCTTAAAGGAGTGCTTACCATTTCAATGTAACTTTCAGTATAGGACACACCTGTCTTTAGGGACCCGGCCTATAAGCTGTTGGAAGCCCTTTCTAGAGCTCAGTTTTTGCTGGTGGGTCCTGATATTCCATTACTTCTGGTTTTGACCTTAATTGTCATACCATGTGTGACTGCTAAAAAATCCCTTAAAATGATCTAACTGCTGCCAAGGCTGATCCCTCACTTATAGAACACATATAACTGATGGCTGTAGCATTATATTTTAGCTGTGATGGTTAGCATATAAATAGACATGAGAATTGAGAATTATAGCAAAGTGCATTTTGGCTAAAGTGCTGGACTGTGGAACCCTTGTGTAAAAAAAAAAAAAAAAAAAAAAAAAAAAAATAAACATTTGAGATACATGGTCTACAAGGGACAGCATCTCTTCAGACTAGACATCTTTGGCAAGAGCACCTATTTTCCTCCAGATAAGAGGCCCAAGGAACAGACTGCAAAGGTCTTCTCCTTCATATCCGTTAAGAAACATCCCTTTCATTTGTCCATCCCTTTCTCAGCCACAATGTCGAGACCCACCTTAGCTAAAACCAGTCTGTCCAATCCTCATACACTCTTTCCTATTATGCTGTACCTCCATTTTTCAGAGTGAAGGGAGACACTTGTTAACTTATGCAGGTGCTTGGTCAGCTTGTGTCTCAGACGTGTGGTAGATAGTCTCCCTGAACTACGAAATGGAGTTTTGCTTCCTGACCCCTACTCAGTTTATCTCCTCCAACCCTCCTGTGTCATAGCCCTGATTAGCAGATCTCCATCGAAGTCTCTCAGGTCTTCTGGATTAAGTTATCATTGACCTAGTTCTTGTGGCAGAATGGTTCCAGGGGTTTTACACCAACCTGTTCTGTTTTCAAACACAAATAGGATATTCACCTTATTTTGGAACTCTGGTTTGAAAGTCTTTGTTCGCATCCTAAATTCTGAATGTAATCTACCAAATCAGCCATCTCCTCCTTTTACCAGGGAGACTTTCTGGTTTCTGTTAACATCAAAGATGCGTACTTGCATGCCCCAATCATCCCAGCTCATCTGTATGTCCCCCACTTTGCCATGGGGACCCTACAGTACCAGTTAATGGCCTTGCTTTTTGGGCTGTCATCTGCACATCAGGTATTCGCTGCAGTGCTTGCCCTATACCAGTAGTGGCAAACCTTTCAGAGACGGAGTGCCCAAACTGCAACCCAAAACCCACTTATTTATCGCAAAGTACCAACACTACAATTAATTCTGAATACAGAGGTGTTAGTTTAGAAAAAACAACCCATACATTTACATCTTTTATCTTAAAAGAAAAACATAATAACAGAGCTTCCACTGACCACCAGCACAAGGGGGAAAAGTTCCACTGACCACCAGCACAAGGGGGAAAAGTTCCACTGACCACCAGCACAAGGGGGAAAAGTTCCACTGACCACCAGCACAAGGGGGAAAAGTTCCACTGACCACCAGCACAAGCTAAAATCTTGTGTTAATAAAAATGAAAGTATTAAAACTCACAACCAGTCCAAAAAAAAAAAAAAAAATTAAAAAAAAAAAAAAAAAAAAAAAATATATATATATATATATATATATATATATATATATATATATATATATATATATATATATATATATATCCTTGGCAGTGCACTAACTGGCGGCTAAGTGACTCCATTGCCTGGCCCTGCTACTCCTTTCCAAGCATGTACATTATCCCCTATGTAATCCGATGCTTGGCTACTGGGGCAACTTGGCTCAACGGAGAGGGCTCTGCGGCATGCGTGCTATAGGTTTGCCACCGCTGCCCTATATTTTATTCTTTAAATGATTATGTATACAGCGATACCAAATACAAAAGATAACATTCCACTCGGTAAGCTGCCTAAAACAATGTTGCAAAATCGTTCAATAGGCTCTTGGAGCTAATGTTGCACACTTATTTGCACTTTACATAGGAACGTATCAGAATCAGTTCTATAGGTCCATACACTCTTCTACATGCCATACGCACTCTTATGCTTAATAATATAATCCACAGTCTATCTTCCACCATTTACTTGCTCAAAACATCCCTATGCTGCAAAACTCTTCTAATTTCTAGGGTACTAATACACCCAGCAGATCCTCCTGCATCCTTCAGACTTCTGTGTACTCTGGAACTCCTGTCCTACTTGTAACCTGAATAATCTGATTAGATTGACCACACACTGCACAAGTGATAATGGCTGTCTCTATCCATCACGCTCGCCGGCTCTTCAGCCTTCCAAACCCCACTGTCAAAGCTGTCACTGAGGAATGCCATTCAACACCCCTCCTGTACAGCTTCTCCTGAGCTTCAACCAATCACACTGATCCGATTATCAATTAAATCACTTGTAAACAAAAATAAACTTCTTGCATGGTATGTTGTATGGGTTTATTAAAAATTAAAATGGTACTCACAAACCACTAAAATTATTGCACATATCACAGCCACTGTCCTCAGATGCACCGCAAGGCTGGCTCTCTGACTTCAGTTACCAATGGTTACTGGCTGTTGAATTGGTACACCTAACACTTGACCGCGTCAACATGTTTCGATGGTTTACCGCTTTCATCGGGTGGAGGGCTGAGCGATATCACTTTGAAAACACATCAGATCTCAATGGGGAAAAATATCATGCTGGATATCTATACTAATATGGACTGGGTAATGTGTTTGAATTCAGTCCTCTGTAGGTTGATCATTTTCATTTCCATCAAATTATGGGGCATCCTTACATTCCAAACACCCTGAAAATGTGAAAAAATTATGCAGAAGGCTAGTCTATTTTGCTGAAATTTCATTGCAGTAACTCAGAATGGGGCATGCTCCTAATGAGATGACAGATGGTGTCCTGGGATATTTCCTCCCAGATCTGGACCAAGAAATCACTGAGTTCCTGAACAGTCTGAGGTGCAACCTGGTGGCGTCAGATGGACCGACACATGATATCCCAGAGGTGTTCTATTGGATTTAGGTCAGGCTCCAGGAACTGCCTGCATACTCTCGCCACCTGCTAACCTCTGTAGGGTCCAGGTATTGCCTCATGCTACCAGTAGTGACACTGACCCTAGCCAAATGCAAAACTAGTGAAAAACAGTCAGAAAAGATGAGTAGGGAAAAAATGTCTGTTGGCTCCACCTGTAAAACCTTTCCTGATTTGGGGGTTGTCTCATTATTGCCCATCTAGTGCACCCGTTGTTAATTTCATTAACACCAAAGCAGCTGAAACTGATTAACAACCCCCTCTGCTACTTAATTGACCAGATCAATATCCCAGGAGTTTAAATGACGTGATGCTATACTCTGATTAAAAAGTGTTCCTTTAATTTTTTTGAGCAGTGTCTATACCATACCTGGCCGATGCACCTGGAAGCTGGTATCACTGAAGTAGACACTGGTACTCCAGTCATCTCTTCTTGCTATTCTGTTCCCATGTTCAGCAGCAGGCCTGATACATTCTGAACACAGGAGGTCATCCGCTCAGTAGGGGCACTATTCAGAGAATGGTTTGCATTTTCTGAATGAATGCAAAGCTTTCTCTGATTAAACAATGAGAGGTGAGGTAGGGGTGTCCTGCTCTGCATTTTGTCTAAGCTGGACCTGTGTAACTGTGTAAAAATGTACCATATCTGACATTCATCCGTAAGTTTAGATAAGAGTTGTAAAGGCAAAATGTATATCTGAGATGCCATTTGAGAGATTTGACCACACTCTCTGTGACAACTATACAAGAAAGGGAGGGTGGAAGGAGCCCTTCAAAGATGGCACAGGCAGCAAAACAAATTTCATTGTCAGAAGCTCTATCCCTCCATCTCTACAAGATAAACAATTGGTTAGAAATTGTGTTCTAAGCAAACCCTTTGCAAGAGGTCATTGATGAAGCTCAGGAAGTTGCAATTAGAAAGTAGTACAACTAACCAGGAGCAGAGTGTTTTGTACTTGCTGAAGTGGTTCATGTTGGAGGGTTTGCTAGAGCACAGCAATGTTCCCATGGGAATGTGCATAAGTTCATTCATGTATACTCACACTCATTTTTAGCTTTTGTTACATATATTATTTTACAACCATTTTTTCTTAATGTATTTTTCCTAGTAAACCAATGCAGCTTTTTAATAGAAATATGTTGATACCATTAAATATAAAGGCTAGGTTCACAGCTATGAGAGAGCTCATGTAAATCGCACACATTCCTGAATCTGCAGGCCAAACCTGCTGCTCTTTAGCAGATGCGAGGGAGTGCCATTAATTTTTAATGGCTCCCCCACACATCTGAAAACACAGCTTGTTTTCAGGTGCGGGAAACCACATGGTGCCGCAGCACAATACGGTTCCCTGCAGGTGCATTTTGAGGAAATGGGTTGGGAACTTTTTCCTTGCGTTTCCCTCAAGTACAGCAGCTCATTGAAATGAGTGGGCTGCTGTGCCCATGCAAACACTGCTGCAGAGAACCACAGAAGTATGGACCTAGCCTAAGGAGGCACTTTCACTATTCCCATTCAAGGCAAAGCGACCAAGTTTGTGTAATGCTCCCCCTGACCCACTGATGCCTCTTTAGCTATTCCCTACCAAATTGGCTGGTGTCAGAGCAAAAAAAGAGTGGTGACATCACCCTTTACCTCATGAGGCAGTACTTGAACCCAGTAATTGGCTGTTAGGTCCAAGTACTAAATAATTGAAGGTCACATGCTCTGCCATACCTGGCAGCATCGAGCATTTTCTGCTGGTGTTGATACAGGAAAGAACTGTGTGGGATTGCTACACAAGGTGATAATCAGTGGTCTGGGGGTGAGCTTTACACAGATACTGTAACTGCCTTGGCTTTTTAAAAGCACAAGTAGGTTGATCGTTGTCTACAGTTGTTTTGCTATAACCTTTATTTTTTTTTTTTTTTTTATTTCCTACTTTCTTTTATTTTAGAAATGGGAACAAATTGAAAATAACTCCAAACTGAGGCATGTCGGAAGTAACTTTTGCCTAGACAGTCGGAATGCCAAAAATGGTGGTCTAACAGTAGAAGCATGCAGTCCTTCTTTATCACAGCAGTGGAAATTTTCACTCAATCTGCAACAGTAGGAAGTCTCAACAGCTGGGAAAAGTTGGGGGAAATAAGCATCATTTCATGGACATTGATTCCGAACGCATTGCAGATGTATTTGTTGAACGTTCTGCGGAATTTATATACCTCAGTATTCCATCTTGACATTGGAATGTGGGATGTAGGCTGGGAGAAGAATAACAAGACCAGGGCCTTCTTCAGCTCTTTGTTGTGATTGGTTAACAGTATTGTATCACTGTACGTGGGCCCTTGAGGAAATCAACAAAATAAACTGTTACCTTGCAAGAGGGGAGGTATAGGTACACGCTTGAAAAGAAGTGGTAAATCATATCTGGCATTTCTGTGGACATAGTTTTTTTATATATATCTATCTATCTAAAAACATTTCTTTATTGGGAAAAGTGGTCCAGATCCCTTGATCTGAACATATTGCAAAGTATGTCTGCAGCTTCTCAGAAGACTGAATAAATGCAATACTTCCTTGGTTGGAGGTGACGTCTCAGAAATCAGGACAGTAGAACCATTTTTGTGTTGTATAAAGCGTTTTTAAATTTGCTAGTCCTCATCAAATTACTGATAGAAGATCATGTTTGCTCAGTCCAGTCGCTGCCAGAAGTTTTGTATTTTCTCACTTGAGCTTTGAGTGAATATGTGTGCATTTTGATTGTCAGAATGATTTTATCTTTTTTTTATTGATCAGAATACAGTGATATTGTTTCTTTTGAAACTAACTTTCTAAATCGGTGAACTCTAAACAAATATAAGTCTAGAGAAATTCCAATCACAAGAGAACATTTTCCTATTGCTTGGCATTGTTAAATGATTATTTTCTTTTTCATTTCTTTTTGCCAAGGAGCAATATTTTTTAAAAATGAAAGCAAACACTTTTAAACTGTACACCTGTAGTGTTTAAATTGGGAGGTTAAAGATCTCAAATGGAAGGTTCATAAACTGTGCTCTTTTAAAAGACTCGTAAACTTAGTGTCAGTAAACCCAAAAGATTAAATTTAATCCTAAACTCCATAAATAATTTGTCATTGTGTGCTGTTGTTTTCTATAAAAAAAAATCCAGTCTTAGCTTGAATTACCTGGTGATCTGCCAGTACATTAGAGTCCCTTCCTCAGAGTGGCAATGTTATTGTGGTAGATGCAGTCTTCTGTGTTGCCACTGTGTCTCTACCTGCTTAAAATTCATTGTAAGGAAGCCTTGAACACTCCCCAGCTATACAGGTGACCCTACTACATGTCATGCTAGGCAGCTCAAGTGAACATCGTAACTGTGCACTTCAATAAAAGTCCACTCCATCTATTCCAATAAAACCAAGCACATATTGCTTTCTTGCTGTTTTTGTTTTTTTTTTTTTTGTTTTCCCATTTTACATTTTTTTTTTTTTAAATTTATATTCTGTCACGTGACTGCATGCGTACCCTGCAAAGTTCATGCGTCGTCATGTGACAGGATTAAAAAAGAAAAAGAGAACTATTTCAAAATAAAATATTAAAAACATGAAAGCAATGCTTTGGTTTCATCGGAGTCCAAGGTCATGTAGGCAAGAAAGACTGGGAAGCAAATAGGAAGTGCCCTGCTGTCAATCACAATCACTAAGCCGCCTTGCAGGAGTGTCAGGTGGGGCTGCTGAGAAAATTTTTAAGATTTATTTATAGATATGTAAATTGTCCATTAATTAAAGCAAGCATTCCTTTCATGAGTTATTTGTCATTTGTTTAAGCTAGGATTTTTTTTACATTTTTAAAAAAATGTTTTTCTTTTTTCTTTTTCACAATTAGTCTTATGACCATCAAAGCACTAGTTGGCTCTGTGTGGACCAGGGCAAATAACACTGCATAATGCAGTGACATATTCATAATGCATCACATGCACATTCACATATTTCTCATGAATACTGAAGAACTTACAAACAAACTTACTAAAGATCTAAATTAAGGTATTTACTAACATTCTACCATGGCAATACATGGACTATTATTTAAACGGTACCATAGACCTCTCGCATTAAAGCATGTGCATATGGGTTTACATAAACTTTAAATTACAGCTTGGTTTACATGTCTAACACTATTTATAGACATTCATCAACAGGAAAGCACGTGCAATAATGTTAAAGCTAAACTGTAGCAATCCAGAGAAAGTATATATAATGCAACTGTCTTTGAATTATTTTTCTGAAAATATCATATCTATGTCAAGACTTCACTTTTTAGTGGCTTCAATTTCTGATGAAGTATTGACACTTTCCAAACTGTCAGGCATGGTAATATATGCACTGGTCTGTGGGAGGGATTTAGAAAAATACACTTACATGGACTTACACTGCAAACAGTGGCCATAAGGGTAGCCTGCATGTAATTCAAAAAGCCTTTAAAAAACTCGCAGGTAAATCCATTTTACAACATAATTGAGCATCAGAAATATAAATGTAAATTGGGAAGGCTACAAATCAGCTTTAACAAGTCAAAATCAAATGTTGCACGCATAAGGGAGCTTATAGTTAATACTCGGAAATAGTAGATCCTTTTTAGGGCTTTAAGTTTACCAGTCTTTTGAAAGTAAAAATAAATTGGGGTGCTGTTCTTTCTGTTCTGTACTTTTGGAGTATGTTTTCAGGATATATGGAAGCTGAAGCCTAATCACACCAGACTACTGAAAGAAGTTCCACTTCCATATGTACACCACCATGATTGTTTGTTTGGTTATTCATGCGCTGTTATTTTATCATACACTTTGACCATTGTTTGGTATAATTTTATTTAGCTCCGTTTAAAGCAACCGGGGGGAAAGGTACCGGTATCCTGTTAATGTGTACCATAACTCAATTTCTCTGTTTTGTTTCTACAAATAGGTTGACAAGTAAAAACTGTATATTGTCATTTACCGTTTCTAAAAAAAAAAATCAGTGGTGCAGTCAATTCTCTATTTAATTACAGCAGCCGATTAGGCTGACAATATTTCTCAAGATCAAGCCAACCAAGGTGACATGAGCTTGATTTTGGGCAATCAATTTGCCTATAGGCACACATTGTCAATTCTATATGTTTTCAATGTTAGATGCTGAACTGCCAGTGGATTCCACAACAAAATGTAGCACAATAGCCACCTTTGTATACTGATGGTATTATTTGATTGGATTTTCCATCCCGGCTGAATGCTCTCTGAGCAGGTAGTGATTTGGCAGGAATGTCAGGGGTTACCTATATACACTAGTTATCAGCAACATAGGCCTGAAAGTAACCTTTAACTGCTACGTGACTTGTATATGGGTATCTTCACAAATGTTGCACACTAAATTGGTCAAATAGACAAAAAATATATGTACTCTACAAACCTAAAGTTCTCTTCTGTCTCGTTCAATTACATCAAATTTCAGTCACTAAGTTGGTGAATACTGTGGAGAGGCAACACTCAAGCTATGTGTAGTTAAATGTATGTTCCCAAAATCTTACTCTGGAATCTGCCCAGTTTTGTGCACCCCATCAATTGCATTAATATCTACAAAACGTTCTAAGGTTATTTTTACCATTGTACTCTAGATGTATAGTAATTGTTGGTAATGTGGTATCCCAGATGAAAAGCTCTTCATCTGTCAGATTTTTATTGCTGTCTATGCCCTGTTGAGTAGGTTTTCCTTCCTTTCTTTCCAGAGACCACCTGTCACCACAAAAAAGTGAGTCTTCTGAGTGGGGAAGTTGTAACAACACTTCAGTAAGGTTGGGTATGGTTCCTACCACAGTTTATCGCCACCTCCCTACTGTCAGTGGTCACATAGTAAAGGAGTCACAGACAGCAGTAAGAACAATAATAGCAGTTCTAGCCCTACCCCTTGCTATTTAATGCTAAAATAATTCACCTTACAGTGTGACTGCAGACAGGCCATGGACATTTAAGAAGACACCCTTGCCACTCCTTCCTCCATCACAGCTGGCTCTGAAGTTAACGATCAGAGTTTTAACTGACCTAAAAACGTATAGTCTCTAAAGTGAAGAAAAAGATGTTAAGAGTAAGAAAAAAAAAATGGTGCCAGCAAACCATAGATTTATCTCCTACACGGCAGAGCTGTCTATTCTCCCCCATCCATCCCATAGTAAAAATCCTGAGGCATGCTGGTAGTATTAGGTGTTATCCTTGGCTGCGCCACAGTTTTTTTTTCTTTTACTGTCTCAAAGGTGAAATACTTCTCTTGTTCCTCAATGGACTCCAAGAAAAAGATTTTATGCAGTTTACTAAAAATCTTTTTGTTTTTGACAACCAGTAAATGAACTCTAAAATAAGCCTTCAATGACCTTTCTAGCTGCAGGAACAATGGAATAATTAATCTTAAAAGTTCACAGCAGAAGCACTGAGGTCCTTTTGTAATTCAGCTCAGCCCATGCTGCTCCCCCCTTCCAACAGTAACTTGGCAGCCTTCAGCTTTCTAAACACGTAGCGTGTGCTATAAATGGGGAACTGGTTTAAGAGACTTTAGGATGAATTACCCCACAGTGCCCGCAGCTATGAAGGTAAGCAAGAGCTTGTTTGAATTACTGTACTGCTATATATATATATATATATATATAAATAAAAATGTCCATAGCCTGGCTGCAGTTCACATTACATCCAATTTCTCTCATGTACTACATTAATACTGTAATAATGGTTTCAGAATTGTGCAACACCTTTTTTATTTTACATTCAGTGTGATTGGTGTTATAATGGTGTGTAAAGCAAATCTCCATCTTGCTACACTTAACCACTAAACGAACACTAGATTAGTACAACACTATTTTTTTTATGAATAAAATTTCCATTATGCTGAATCTTGCAGTTTTATTTATAGGGTGTGTTTTCATAATCCATTCAGCTGGCAGCTGTAAAAATACAAAAGCCCCATATGCCACTTGTGGGATCTATTGCCTCTTTTTCATGAATTAAAGTGTAATTTCACGGAAATTGCTTTATTTTACTGTATCCTGTACTGGCAGGTTGTTTTTGCAAATTAACCGTTTTAAAAGTTGGTGTAAA